ACTCTTCGTTGCAGTGCATGGGCTTCATTTTTTTTTTTTTAATCATGATATTGCTTATATGTGGAATCTAAAAAAAATGACACAAATGAACTTATACGCAAAACAGAAACACACCCACAGACATAGAAAACAAACTTATGGTTACCAAAGGAGAAAGGAGGGGAGGGATAAATTATGAGCCTGGGATTAACACATAAAATATAAAATATAAAATAGGTAACCAACAAGTACCTTCTGTATAGTACAGGGAACTATATTCAATATCTTGTAATAACTTATAAGGGAAAAGAATCTGAAAAAGAATATACATATATATAACTGAATCACTTTGCCATACACGTGAAACCAACACAACCCTGTAAATCAACCATACCCCAATTAAAAAAAAATAGAATATTCCAGTACCCTTTTTGTACCTTGTCCCCGTCACTCCCCTCACAAGGTAACTACTATTCTCATATTTATCCCCATCAACTTGTTTGGCTGATTTTTGAACTTTATATAAATGAAATCATGCAGCACACTCATGATTGTACTGATATTTCTAGTTTGGGTCCATTATGAATCATATTGGTATAAATACTCTTTCTTGTCTCAGCCTTTAGATTTTACTTGCCATAAAAGCTTTCTTTAAACTCCTGGCCTTAGTGATGTGGTTCCCAACCTCCCTCCAGCCCTGCCCCTACCATCCAACACAAACCCATAAGTCATCACTCTAACGCGCAGACTTCATACTGCGGTGGCTTCTCTTGTTGCAGAGCATGGGCTCTAGGCATGTGGGCTTCAGTAGTTGTGGCGCACGGGCTTAGTTGCTCTGCGGCACGTGGTATCTTCCCGGACCAGGGCTCGAACCCGTGTCCCCTGCAGTGGTTAAGAATCTTCTGCACCACCAGGGAAGTCCCCTAAAGATTCTTTTAATACTTCCTTCTGCCCATATGAAATTTATTAATATACAGTATGCAGGATGGTGCCAAGCTGTTTCTTTTCCATACTGATATCCATGTACCTAACAAGATGCTTTGTGTGTTGCCCTACCTTTGCCCATTTCTCAAATGGCATTCTTTGGCTTGCTTCTCTCTACTCTCTTCCTGGGTGACTTTAAATATGTTCCTGTAGTTTCAACTGCCATTCAAGCAGAGCCTTCTGAGCTTCAGGCCAGGGGCATCTCCACCTACATGTCCCTTAGGCACCAGGATTTCAACACATTTCTTCAAACCTTCCTCCTCCCTTCCCTATGTTAAGCATATATGGTGGTACCATTTTTCCAGTTGCCCAGGACAGAAAGAGGGAAATTGTTTGTGATTCCTGTCTCTTCCTAATTCCTCATATCCAAAAGGTCACTGGTTTTGTCAAAACATTGATCCATTTTTTCCCATTGTTTTATATCTTCTTGCTCAGACCCCTTTGAGCCCTTCTGTACAGTGACCTAGGGTGATCTTTCAACACACAAATCTGAACTAGTCAAGTCCTAAATGCTCCAATGGCTCATTAGCAGGGAGCACAACATCCTTCAAGATTTGATCTTTTTTTTTTTTTTTGGATAAACCTCTCAGCTACCTCTCCTTTACCTGACTAATGTCTAAATTCAGAAGACAGATTGCCAGATTTTGAATTCTGATTACCACTTATTGGTTTTTGATCTTAGACAAGTAACATAACCTCTACATATAAAGTTGTACTCAGGTTATACAACATAAGAAAATGAAAACATTTACATTACTGTGTTAGGAAGTTTGGCTCCTAAGCTTTTTAAAAGATAGAAAACAAATGTTTTCTATGTTCTTTCTATGTTCTGTTTCTTCATCTGTTACATGGGAATTATAGTAACTGCCTCAAAGTTATTGTTATGAGGATTAAACATACATATATATATATCTATATATAGATATATATGAATTAATATATCTAAAAGTGCTTCAGACAATGCCAGCCATATAGTATGCACCATTTTAAAGTATTAGTTATTATTATTATTTAACTAATGGGGAAGTATTTCCTGTTTATCCTTGGTGCCCTTCAAATGAATTCTGAACAACCAGCACTTCCTCTTATAATAGAAATTGGCACAATGTACTGAAATTGCTTTTCTCATCTACACCCTAAGATGTCTAAAATATATTTCTTTGCCTGAAGCACTTTGGTTTCTAGGAAGCCCCAGGGTTTACCCCTCTTTTGCTTTAGGGCCTTTTCAGTCTGCCTATCCCTGCCTCTTCAAATACCAGATATGACCATGGAGGCATTCTGGCTTTACGAATACAAATGTTAAATGGGAATCATACCATCACAGATGGATTTTTGTTGAGGAAATATTTTTTGCATGTACTCAAACCAGTTTAATTTCATGATCAGTTTCATATACACAAAGTACAGCAAAAACAATTTAAATTTTTCCCATTTTCATCTGACTGAAATTATTTCGGTAAGAAATAATTTCATTGTTTTTTTCTCTGTAAATTTTAAAGGAATTGATTAATAAATCAGTTTTTTGCACATATCAAATTCTTCCAATTACAGTTTTTGCCACTGAGTTCCTCAGGATCAAATTAAAATCTATATTTTATTTATGCAATTCTTCTATTAAATTTGGTCAAGAACTATGGGCAGTTTTACTTCATTATATATTTCTATCAAGTCTAATTTTTCTAGGGTCAAATTTTGCAATTTTTAATCTTACAAGACGTAGTTCTTCAGTAAGTTTTCCTCTTTACAATGCAGTTATCATGCACAGGGTTACCCATTCTGGTTTTATTTCTACAATGGAAATTCATTTGCTGTGATTTGGATAAACAACTGTTTGAATTCACTTCTTAGCTAAAAATTGTAATTCCTCTCATCAATTCTCCAAGACCATCCTTGAGGTCAAAATATCTCACCTCATTTCCTTTCCCCTCAACTCTCTTCACATCATTCATTCCTGCTTACTCCTCAGATGCCAGCTCAAGCAGCACTGGCTCGAGGAAGCCTCTCCTGATCTCTAAGACTAGATCAAGTTTCCCTCTTTTTGCTTAGATAGTACATTTTATTTTTCTTTCATCACAGTTTATGGGTGAAGATTTTTAAAAATTTTTTTAAAAATTAATTTTTTGGCTGCGTTGGGTCTTCGTTGCTGCACGCAGGCTTTCTCTAGTTGCGGAGAGTGGGGGCTACTCTTTGTTGCGGTGCGTGGGCTTCTCATTGCGGTGGCTTCTCATTGGGGAGCACAGGCTCTAGGCATGCGAGCGGTAGCTGTGGCGCACAGGCTCAGTAGTTGTGGCTCGCGGGCTCTAGAGCACAGGCTCAGTAGTTGTGGCACACAGGCTTAGTTGCTCCGCGGCATGTGGGATCTTCCCAGACCAGGGCTCGAACCCGTGTCCCCTGCACTGGCAGGCGGATTCTTAACCACTGTGCCACCAGGGAAGTCCCTCATCACAGTTCATAAATATGAGTACTTATTATCTCCCTCACTAAACTCTGATCCCTGAAGGCAGGGACTTTTTCTTACCACTGGATCCCTGGCACATAAAAGGCACTCAAATTTATTGAAAGAATGATGAAAAGGAAAATAATATCTTTTATCCCCAGTGCTCATATAGTGCCTGACCAATCCTAGGCACTCATTAAAAGCTGTCTGCATTTTCCCCTTATTGTTTATTTCTGGTTTGTTATGGTCTGACAATGATGAATTTTTTTTCAATACTAACTTTGAAATTGACTTCTTAATGCTACATATTTTTAAGCTTTTAAGAGCCATGCTACTCCAATAATTTCCTCTTCCCTTCTCTCAGGGCAGCCATACTGTACAACTCTGGCAGGGTACACTGTACTCAGTGGAGCAGGGAGTTGTTTGATGCAGCACTGATGCATCCTCACTTCCCTCTGTGAAAGGAAAAGCATTCAGCTATTTCCTAAAGTTAATTACAACAGCAGTTCTAAATCCTAAGCTATAAATCAAAAACACCTGGGATACTTTCACAACAGAAATGCTTGGGCCCCACCTGAAAATTATTGAGTCATAAAGTACCAAAACTCCCCAGGTAACTGCAGAGCTAGTGTTGGGAAACACTGGGGTGGGAGCACAGGATGAGTGTGGGAGAATTGGTTAGAAACTAATCTAGATAGGCAGGTTAGTGTATTCAACACTTAGGAATTGGAATTTAACTTTACATCAGTGAGGAGGGTTTTAAGAGGGTAATGAAATAATCAGATCTATGAGAAAGGTTAACTTGGCACCAGTGTGGCAGGGTTTAGAGCCTGAGCTGGGGAGGCCAGGGGAAGAAGCTACAATGAGCCCAAGAATAGACTGCGAGGACTTGAACTAGGGTGGCTGCAGTGCAAACACAGAAGAAGGGAATAGGAAAGGACTCACAAGACATTTGACAGAATTCGCTAAGTGGAATGTGTAGGGTGATTAAAGAGGGAGGAGTTATAGACCACTCCCAGATTTCCAGGGTAAGCAACTGGATGCAGTTTGATGCCATTAACCAGAGAATACAAGTGTAAGGATAGAATGGAGCAGGTAGATGAAACAAATTCCGTTTCCAGCTATGATGAAACAGACGTTCCTTGTGTAAACCATTTAGGTGGAGCTAGAATACTAAGAAATTGGAGATTAAGATCTAGAATTCAGAAGAGAGGTTGAGGCTGAAGTTTTAGGTTTGGGAGTCAACAGGGTATTTGGTAACAATTGAGGCTATTGGAATGGATGAAACTGAACAGAGAACTGTCTATGTAGAGTCAAAAGTGCTTAGCACAGAATTAAAGATAAATCAGGCTTTCTCATTAAACTTACTAAACCACATAATCTTAATTTTATTTATTTTATTTTTTAATATTTATATTTATTTGGCTGCACTGCATCTTAGCTGCAGCATGTGGGATCTTCATTACCGCGTGCAGGATCTTTTTAGTTGCTGCATGCGGGATCTTTTAGTTGCGGCATGCGGGATCTAGTTCCCTGACCAGGGATCAAACCCGGGCCCCCTGCATTGCGAGCATGGAGTCTTAACCACTAGACCACCAGGGAAGTCCCCTTAATTTTAATAAAGCTCAGCAGACCACCATTAAAAATATGCAGATGTCAACGTGAAGAGTAGATGATAATATAAAAAAATTATCTGCAACCTGTATGATAATTTTAAGTATTACTACTGTTATCTCTGGACTTACTTAGAACACAACAACCTGTTAGCTTGGAAAGACTAATTTCTAAGCTTATTAAATAGCAGATTAATCAAGTTAGCTCCTAATATGATACCTGTGCTCCCCTAAATAAAACAACCAGATATTTGGTGATCTACTTCCTACAATATAAAGGCAATATAAATACATCATTGAGCCAACTCATAAAAATACAACATGTTCTTAACAAATGCAACTAGTAATATTCAGAGATTGTCACTTAGTCTATGTGTCCATGTATGTTTGTGCTTATGTGCCAGGCAGTTCTGTGTAATTTACTTAACATTAATAATACAAGTTCATCATTAGGTCTGGAATTATTTCAACAGAAAATTAAGTAAAACTTAAGAAAAAATTCCCAGGCCCTGCTATTTCCAAGAGTGAATGAACTTGTCTAGAACTTGTCCCTGAAATCCTTGTTTTTAAGAGGCACTCAGGTAATTATGATGCAGGGGGTTCAAGAACTATAATACTTTGAGAAATACTAGCTTATACCAAATAAACATTTTAACTAAGTCTTTTAAAAACATGTTGAGAAATGTTCAGAGATTACAAAAAAAATTTTAAGTAACAGTGTTACATATGCTTTAAGTAGAAAACACATTTTCTTTATTCAAATCATGTGGCTTTCTGTACATTTTGAAATGACAAAGTCATAGCAAAGCTATATTTTAATTTCATCATATTCCACTCTAAATTCTGTACCATTTACCAAAAATAACTTTTTATAAAGCTTACTGTTTTGTCTAATATTATACAGACTATCAATCTACACATTTTTGTGTGTTTCTCCTAAAAATTAGATTACCTTATTAGGATATTATATAAAACTAATTGGTATATTACACACCAAACATAAGTACAGATTCTGTACAATGTAATAGTATACATATATATTACAAGAGACTAAATGCCTTGTTAAAAGTAATAGTTTAAGAAATCTTTCATGGAAAAAATCTATATCACAAAATGTGGTGGCTTAAGTATCAGTTGCTTTCCTCTCATGAATTTCTTTCGGTGGGCATTAACTGTCCATTTAGCTTCATTAGTAGTTTTACCACAAGGCCGGCCTACAAAGTAAAATACGTTGACAATAAATTTGAAACATGTAAGAATGTGTAAATGACATACATGGCAGTGGACAGACAGTTCTCTATGTATTTGAAAAGGAACTTTTCATTGTTATAAGACTGCAATAAATTATTCAGATAAGTTTCTGGCTTTGCTTAGGAAAGGCCTGCCTTTTTACCTTGGTCTTAAATATGTTAACTTCATGTTAGAGGTTTTCCTTAAAGTAAAATGGACTGTCATTTTTTAAAAAAGAAATAACTTTATTAATACAGTAGAGTTTATTACTAGAAGTCCAGAATAACTGATTAGGTACTTACCTGTTTTGTATGTACTATAAAGCTCATTTTATATTCCATACTATGGATCTGAAAACATGTATCAGCATCTCCCAACTGCCACATAAAACAACCATACTTAAGACTGATGAGTAAAGCCTGCAACATAATTAGAAATCATTATATTGAAATATTTATTAAAAACAACACCTATCTTCTCTTACTATCTACACCTATCTAGACAGGTCTAAACACAGTGGTTTTGACAGTTAGAATTAAACTTGTTCAAAGTGCCCACACTAACTTCACACGGCCTGCAGTACAGAGCCACATATATGGTAGACTCTTAGAAGACTGCCTTGAGCAATGATATTCTTCTTATCAGAATGACAAATTTTTTTTTTTTTTTTTTTTGCGGTACGCGGGCCTCTCACTGTTGTGGCCTCTCCCGCTGCGGAGCACAGGCTCCAGACGTGCAGCCTCAGCAGCCATGGCTCACGGGCCCAGCCGCTCCGCGGCATGTGAGATCTTCCCGGACCGGGGCACGAACCAGTGTCCCCTGCATCGGCAGGCGGGCTCTCAACCACCGCGCCACCAGGGAAGCCCAACAAAATTATTTAAAGATGCCCATTCTGTGCTATGTATTTGTATATGTGTACACAGAAAGAAGTATTATTCAGCCATGAGAAATAAGGAAATCCTATCATTTGCAACAACATGGATGGAACTGGAGGGCATTATGCTAAGTGAAATAAGCCAAAGAAAGACAAATACCATAGGATACCACTTATATGTGGAATCTAAAACAGCCAAACTCACAGAAACAGGAAGTAGAATGGTGGTTACCAGGGGCTGGTGGGTGGTGGAAATTAAGGAGATGTTGGTCAAAGTAGTACAAACTTTCAGTTATAAGTTCTGGGGATCTAATGTGGGGCATGATGATTATAGTTAGCAATACTATACAATATGCTTGCAAGTTGCTAAGAGAGTAGATCTTAAATGTTCTCACCAGAAAAAAGAAACTGTAATTATGCAATGTGATAGAGGTGTTGGCTAATGCTATTGGGGTAAACATTTTGAAACAAATAAGTGTATCAAATCAACATATTGTACACCTTATGTGTACATAAAAAAAAAAGATGCCCATTCTATCAGTGGCTTTCAAGAAAATTAAGTGTACTGCAAGTTTTTACTTTCTGCATCTTAAAAACAATTCCTTTTACTATTGATATATTCAGTACCTTTTGAATATTCATATAGTACTTTCAGATCTGAAATTTATGTAATAGGGTAACATGTCGATTTAGGCAATTTCATATCACTGAAAATAAGTACGCTGATATATTTATTGTAAATATAAGCATTATTTAAAAAATTAATAATATATCCTTCATATATTCAACAGAACTATTTAAAACCAATTACAGTACCCTATTCCTACATGTTGTAACATAATGGTATATTTAAATAGGAATCCAATATGTTCTTTGGATTATTTAAAAAACAATTATCTCCTAGTAGTAACTTACATTTTCTTACCCTAAAAATATATTCTTTGTATACACATATACAAAGAAAGTGTTCATGCCATCCTTTAAAATAAGTATGTTGAGAAACATTACCTCTCTATGACTAGCAGTTCTTAACATAATGATTATAAATAATAAACTAAGGATATTCCAGAAAGGTAATGGTTTAGGGCATTCTGAAAGGTTCTGTAAGTGAAATGTAATATAATTAATTTACATGAGTGTATACCACTTATAATGGGAAAATAGTATCTTGCTTTAAAATAGCTATACTTATAAAATATAACTTATAGACAGGATCTACTAAAATAGCTATTTACCAAAGTACACAATGAAACACTGAGTCAAGATATCATAGAACTTTAAACTGTCTATCTTTTGGATCAGTGACTTGAAACTTCTTTAATCAAGAGACAGGAAACTGTCCATTTAATATGTCCTCAAAACAGTTTAATATACAGAAAAAAAATACATCTGTGGTATAGCAACTCCTAGATTACGTGAAGGTCAAATGACCAACAAAAGCACTGAAGCCATAAGTTAAAATAAAGGTTTTGTTTTTAAAGGACAGTGTGCAGGGAGAAAGGAATTCTTGAGAAATCCACAATAATGAAAACGGCTGAATGGAGTTGAAGAGCCCACATGGCTGTTTTGAGAGACCAGTCTGCTCCAGAAGGAAAAAGTAGCTCTCATTAGGAGGTAAAACCTACAAAGGGGAAGGTGCTTAGTGAAGGAAGTCAAAAAGTAAGAGAAATGACAGGGATAGTTGAGAGCAGAAAAGGGAAACCATGTAAGTCAGAAGTAGACATAGCCAACCAGGACACACAGGAGAAATAGTGATGTTGACAAGTGACCATGAACAATGGCACTAAATGGGTATTTAAAGAACCAGTTTTATTTCAGAAGGGCATTATGGTCTACATAAATTGACATCAGCAAAGGGTAATCTATTGCCTGGATGTAGCAGTGGTATTAAGGCTGAAGATATATCAACAAGTACAGTTCAGTTATGAAGACTGTAATGCTTTCACTATAGTAAAACATTGAACTGTAACACTGCATTTACCTATTCGATAGTGCCTACATTTTATGTAAGTAGAAAGATAGGTCTCTGATGAGTATATGAAACTGGCTGAGGTGTATTTTCTGAGGGGCAACTTTTATTATTCCAAACAATAACAAAATATAGAAGGCAGAAGTAATTGAGATTAAAAAAAACAACACAGCTGTATTCTATGGCTTTTCCTGAGATTTAATCTCTGAGGCTAATGTATCCCATATGTAGACTTTTAAATGCAAATGAATGTATTTTTGCAGATGAAGATGTTTATTTAAGCAAGCTTGTCATATTCAACCCTAGCAGATTTGGTCAATCTAAGACAACTGAGGACAAGCTGATTGTTCCTATCTTAGATCATTTGAAAATGTAATTATCTTAGAGCTTTTATAGGTGCCATAAATTTATCCGTAGCTTACAGAACACAAGGTAATGATTATGTGGACAGAAAACATTGTTACCCTTGGTTTCAATCACCTTTTTATATGCCCAATGACAGCATTTCTATTTATATTTCTAGAAAAAGCAGATTCTTAATAACACTATCATCCTCTGCCTGCTACTGCTATCTCACTTACTCAATTCCTGGACCAGAATATTATTCATAATATGAAATATTATATTACTGAAACATCATTTGAATACTATATAAAACTTTTCATTGTTGCCTAAATTTGGAATGCTCCCAAAAGTCAAACATAAAATATAGTTTAGAGAAAAGGCTCAGTGTTATGCCCACAGTATCACCATCCAGTTCGATGAAGAAGAATTTGCAGATATTTGTATAAAATGCTCTGAAATAGCAGAGGAAAAATTTCTTGAAATGACAAGGGGAATTTCTCCTTCATTTCTTTAGTACAACAGGAATAGAAAAAGTAGTTACAAGCTAATAAGAAGCAGCTTATTTTGTATGAGTAAAATAGTCTAAATAGAAAATGATAAGCAAATGACTCCAAAGCAAGCAGATATCAGAGACTTCAAAAAATCAAGTTCCAAGTCAGTCAGTGCCCTATGTCCCTGCATATTCTTTATCTCCATTCACAGGCATTTCTAACAGTATGGGAAAATAACTGTTGCCCATAATGATGATCCTGAGTTATCAGGAAATAACTAAACTACAATTGGGATACTTTCAGAAGGTATGTGATTACATAATAAAGACTTACAAAAATGATGAAAAAAGTTAGGTTTACGATGAAATTCCCTAATCTAAAACGCCTTTTAAAAATGCGTAAGCTCAGTTACTTAAACTGATTTGGAAAATAGTCTATCTATGACATACCTGAATGAACAAAATAGATTTTTATCTGCTTCCTATTACTAACTAGAAAGCTGTTTATCCTGTGAAATGTGTTAAATATGCTAAAAGTAATTGATAACCCCATATTTATATTATCATGACTTTGATTAGAAAAAGGCACAATACAGTAATAAGCCTCTGATTGAAAAGCTCTGAAGTAGGGGCGGCCAGATCAAGATGGTGGAATAGTGGGGCTTCCCTGGTGGCGCAGTGGTTGAGAGTCCACCTGACGATGCAGGGGACGCGGGTTCGTGCCCCAGTCTGGGAAGATCCCACATGCCTGTGCTCCGCAGCGGGAGAGGCCACAACAGTGAGAGGCCCGCGTACCGCCAAAAAAAAAAAAAAACAAAAGATGGTGGAATAGAAAACCTCTGAACAGTTCTAACAGGTATTCATAGTCCCATCCACACTTCATCTTGCCCCCCCAAAATGTTCCTATAACTTATTCTAATTTGCAAAATGAACCACTTGTGTCAGATATTATATTTCCTTTTTTAAATCTGTATTTTTTTTCATTTAAATCTAATTTTTAGAATAGGTAATACATTCACAGTTAAAAAAAATTTTTTTAAGTTGCAAAATGCTATATAATGAAAAGTCTCCCTTCTACTCTTATTCCCAGTTACATGGTTCCCCCCCTCTAAAGGCTTTAAGAGACATTTTATGCATACCAAAGCAATACTTATGCAAATATAGTATTCACTTCCCCCCATTTTTTGAGGTATAATTGACATATAACATTATATTAGTTTCAGGTATACAATATGATTCAATATTTATATATATTGCAAAATGATCACCACAATAAGTATCGTTAACATCCATCACCATACATAGTTACAACTTTCTTTTTCTTGTGATGAGGAATTTTAAGATCTATTCCCTTAGCAACTTTCAAATATGCAATACAGTATTATTAACTATGGTCACCATGCTCTATACTACATCCCCATGACTTATTTATTTTACAGCTGGAAGTTTGTACCTTTTGACCCCCTTTACCCATTTTGCCCATCTCCCAACTCCCTGCCTTTGGCAACCACCAGTCTGTTCTTTGTATCTATGAGCTTGTTTTTTTTTTTAAAAAGATTCCACATATAAATAGTGAGATCATATAGTATTTATCTTTGTCTGACTTATTTCACTAGGCATAATGCCCTCAAGGTCCACCCATATTGTTGCAAATGAAAGACTTCATTCTTTTTAATGGCCGATTAATATTCCACTGTATATATTTACACATTTTCTTTAGCCATTCATCCACTGATGGACACTCAGGTTGTTTATCTTGGCCATTGTAAATAATGTTTCAATGAACAGGGATGTGCATGTATCTTTTTGTGTTAGTGTTTCCGTTTTCTTCGGATAAATACCCATTTCCACCCATTTTTACATGAATGGTAGCATATTACATATGGTTCAGCACCAAATATATCTTAGAGATCATTCCACAGAAAAATATCTTCATTCTTTTATATGGCTGCAAGGTATTTCAATGTTACAATTAATATGTTAACTCCCTATTGATAATCATTTCGTTTTCACCCCCTTATCCTTTGCTATTATAAATGAATGAAATTGTTCATGTAGGCTAGTACTGTTATTTTAGATATTACATAATGTGACTGGTCAAAAACAGCTGAAAAGATGAAAATCTACCTTAGTTTCCATATTGAGAAGATGAAGTCCTTTTATATTCACACCTACATACACAGGGATGACTTTATGATTACTGGGGCTTGCCTTTGTAAATATCTGTCCTATGAAAAAAGCTGCTCCATATGTAGGAATTTCCCAACAATTCTGTAAGAACATGCGCTGTAGGTGATGCATTTCTTTACTGACACCTTCACTTGTACTAAGATTCTAAAAACAAAGTAAAATAAACAGATGTGAAAGGAGAATGTACCTTTGATAATCCAAACAGGTCAACTAAACAGTTTCTAAAATCAAGGCTATCCCAAAGACAAATAAAATTGTGTGACATTATACCAAAGGCAGTTTTTCTTTTGAGATCTTATATTAAAAAAAAGAAATATCAAGGTCTAAAAATAATGTTTATCTATTCTATTACATTTTTAAGTGCCTCATGGATAGAGACAGTGTATTATCTCATGTTTTTTTAATCTCTAGCACTTACCACAGTATCCAGCATACAGACGGTATTCAGTAAAAGATTCTACATTATTAAAAATAAAACTATTTTGCTCCTTTTCCTTTCAGGCATGTGAACTATAAGATCCTTATTTAATTTCAAGAATAAAATGTAATGTACCTATGTTTAAAACATATTAATAATACTAACAAAATTTCAACTAGGCTATAAAATGTCTTTTTATTTCTATTTAACAGCTTACCTTGTATTCATGAAGTATTCGGTTTGTCCAGTGAGGTGCCTTACTTTTCAATTTGGTAATAGGTACAATGGATTTTAGATTTTCTTCACTGTAAGCAAATACACCAACATCTTTTAAATAAATCATCTTTAGTAGCTACAGTAATATAATCATTTACATGTAAATGGCTTTAATTAATATGATTTTTGAGCTGAAAAATATTATATTGTAACATATCAGAGAACTCTCAACATTTTAAGCAAAAAGTCACGATCCTAATATTGCTCAATTTACAGAAATGTTTCTTCTTTCAGTAGCCACAAAATATTTTTGAATATTTAAAACTACAATAAACAAACTTTAAATGTGCTAAAACCTCATTGTTTTCTCTCAACATGAACTAGTTTTTGTGGTGGTATATGGTGAAATGCATCTGCCTTGTAACATTTTTTCTACTAATCCAACTCAGGTTTTAGTGAACTTATTTAAACATACAGTAAAGAAAGATAAAGCTAACAAGTATAAGGCATATCAAACTATATTCAAATATAAGAAAAAGAACTTTGGAGAGAGTGTAACGTAAAGCATGCTTTACTTTTTTTTTTTTTCTCATTCCATGCCTTATATTATTTAATTCCAAACCAACGTCTAAATAGTTCTTAGTAACGTAATATTTCTAAATTTTCTTGGTTAAACTGAACCTTGGGTATAGCACAAGACCATGAATTGTATTAAATACTTACTTTAGGAAACCTTGCTTGTGTTTCTTACTCTCATAATTTCCATAAACTATCTGCAACAGTAGACTTGCCAATGTTATCAGTTTAGCATCAGGAGCCGTATAAAAGCCCTTCAATAAATTATATCTGGCTTCATCAAAGAGAATAAGAATAGCTAATGGGTCTTCAATCTTAAAAGAAAAAGTATAATTTGGTTATTAGGTCACAATTTCCTGTTATAAATGTACAACTTGCCACTATCTAATATGAAAAAGCAAAAGCTATGTAATTTCATATAAATAAGCTGTTATTGCTTTAGAGCAGAGATTGACAATTTTTTTCTATTAAAGCCCAGATAGTAATATTTTAAGCTTTGTGAGTCAGATAGTCTGTTAGAACGACTCAACTCTGCTATTGTAGGACAAAAGCAGCTATAGACAATACATCTACAAATGTTGGAGTTCTACTAAAACTTTTTATATTGATTCTGAAATTTGAATTTCATGAAATGTTCACATGACATGAAATATTCTTTTGAATTTTTTTCAACCATTAATAGCTTGTAGGATATACAAAAGTAGGCAACAGGTCAGATACAGCAGTAGGCCATAGGTTGCTAACCTCTGATTCACAGTTCAATAAAATTATCATCAGTTTACGGATATGAGTGTGTATAACTTATAGTACAATTTTACTTAAATTCTTTATATTCCTCAAACATTCTTCTACAATCTGTGCTTCACCCAATATAGTAGTGAACCTCAAAGAAGATAAAAGGAAGTATTAACTCCCAGAAGGACACATGAAGTTTGAAAAAAGCTTAACATTTTTTATTTGACTAAAGAATATTCAGTACTTTGCACTTTCAAATAACACTAAAGGAGAGCATACTTTTTTAAGTTTTGAAACCTTTAAAGTTTCACTTTATCTGATAAGATTAACAAACATTGAAAAATGCCAGCCTAAAGAATACATTTCTACTTGGAAATAATCACCAATTATAGAGATTCTGAATGAATACTTAGTATGTTTCCAAATATGATTCAAAATGACCCAAATTCCTTATGGCAAAAGAAATGTTGTCATACTAACTAAAATAATATAATACTCCATATATTGATAATATTAAAAAAAACTGAAACAGAATTTCATGGGGAAAAAAAGATAAGGGGATTGCTCTAGATTAAAGGAGACTTAAAGAGACTGTAATCAAATGCAAAGCATGAACGCTGACTAGCTCCTTCAGTTGGGAGTTAAAAGAGACTGAAAAATTGGGGGGAAATCTGAATATGGGTCTGATATTAGAGGTTATTATGGAAACATTAATTTTATTAGGGTGAAAGTGGTACTGTACTATGTAGGTACATCCTTGTTCTTAGAAGATGCATGTTAAAATATTTAGGGATGAAGTGCCAGGATGTCTGCAACTCAATTTTAAATGGTTCACAACCAAAAGAGAGGAAAGATGAAACAAATGTAGCAAAATGTTAACAATTAGTGAATTTAATGAATGGTATATGATGGTATGAAGTTTATTACTTTTTCAACTTTCCTATGGTTTTTTAATTTCTCAAAATAATTGTTGGGAAAAAATGAAAGAAAACATTTTTCTAATAAAAATTGACTTAAAGAATTTGAAGAGTTTGAATAGAGAATAATTATAATTCCTAATAGTGTGTTCAGTGACTATTAGTCAACAATTGTTCTTTTTAAATGAAAGCAGGCTCTTTTCATCCTAAAAGAATAGTCCTAACCAAAAAAATACAATTCTTCTATTTTTCAGGTGGTAAAAATAGGAATTTTTCAATTACACAATGAGTGAAAAAGAACGCAACCACTTTATCAGATGATCGTGATATTCTGATTCACCTTAAGTACTCACTAAGCCTTGCTTCTTTTCACTTGAACCTACTTTGTATTATTTGTAACATAATATGCAATTAATTAATATCCAAGTATTATCATTATTGCTCTTTCTCTACCAGCCAACTTTAAAAATATTACTTAGAAAGAAAGAAGACAGGCTGAGTATATTTAGATTATTTGCAAATTTCATACATCTATTACATTTTAAGAACTGCTAACAAAGTTTACCATTTTAACTATTTTTAACTGTAGAATTTAGGGGCATTAATTACATTCACAATGTTGTGAACCATCACAACTATTTCCATATTTTCATTGCCCAAACAGAAACTCTGTAACCATTAAGTCCTCATTCTCTCCCCCCATCACACTAATATACTTTCTGTTTATAGTATCTATTCTAGATATTTATTTAAGATAAGTAGAATCAAACAGTATTTGTCCTTTTGTGTATGGCTTATTTCACCTAGCATGTTTTCAAGGTTCATCCATGTTAGGACATGTATCAAAACTTCATTCCTTTTTATGGCTGAATGATATTCCATTTTCTTCATCCATTTATCTGTTGATGAACACTTTAGCTTGTGTCCACCTTTTTGGTTATTATGAATAATGCTGTTAAGAATGCTGGAATGCAAGTATCTGTTTGAGTTCTTGTTTCCTTTAGGTATATACCTAGGAGTGGAATTGCTGGATCAAATGGTAATTCTATGTTTAGTTTTTGGAAGAACCACTCAACTATTTTCCACAGCAGCTGCACCATTTTACACTCCTACCTACAACATACAAGGGTTCCAATTTCTCTCTGTCTTCATCAAAACTCAACATCTTCTTTTATAAATCTTTATTATTACAACCATCCTAGTAGGTGTGAAGTGGTTTCTCATTGTGTTTTGATTTGCATTTCCTTAATGACTGATAATGCTGAGCGTCTTCGCATGTGCTTGTTGGCCACTTGTATATCTTTACTGGAGAAATGATATTTAAGTCCTTTACCCAATTTAATTGGGTTGTCTTTTCGTTGTGGAGTTGTAGTTCTTTTAATATTCTGGATAGTAAACACTTATCAGATTTATGATTTGCAAATATGTTCTTGCATTCTCTAGCTTGTCTTTTTCTTGATAATGTCCTTTGATTTACAAATGCTTTTAATTTTGATGAAGTCTCATTTATCGATTTTTTCTGTCGTTACTCATGTTTTTGGTGTCATATCTAAAACTCCAAGGCCAAATCTAAGGTCATGAAGACTACCCATATATTTTGTCCTAAGAGTTTTATGGTTTTGGCTTTTATATTTAGGTTATTGATACACTGAGTCAATTTTTGATGTGGTGTGAGATCAGGGTCTAATTTTATACTTTTTGCATATGAATTTCCAGTTATCCCAGCATCATCTGTTGAAGAGACTATGTTTTCCTCATTGGATGCATTTGGCATCCTTGTCAAAAAGCAGTTGGCATGGATATATGGGGTTACTTCAGGACTCTCAATTCTATTCCACTAGTCTATGTCTATCCTTATACCAGTACCACATTGTTTGGATTACTGTAGGTTTGTACTAAGAAATTTGGAAATGTGAATCCCACAACTTTATTCTTCTTTTTCAAGAATGTTTTGGCTATTCAAGGCCCTTTGCAATGAATTTGGGGATTGCCTTTCCCATTTCTGCAAAAACGTCTGTTGTTAGGGAATTGTGTTGAATTGGTAGATCACTTTGCTTGTATTGATGTCTTAACAATATTAAGTCTTCTTATCCTTGAACATGGGATGTCTTTCTAGTTACTTATGTCTTCTTTAATTTATTTCAGCAATGTTTTTGTAGTTTTCAGTGTACGAGTTTTGCAGCTCTCTTGTTAAATTTATTCCTAGGTATTTTATTCTTTTAGAAGTTATTTTAATGGAGTTTTTAGTTTCCTTTTTTTGGGGGGGAGTGTCTGTGGCTGGTTATAGAAACAACTGATTTTCGTGTGTTGAGCTTGTACCCTACAACTTTGCTGAATCCATTTATTAGCCCTAGTAGCTTTTGTGTAGATTCTTTAGAATTTCCTATATACAGGATAATGTCATTTGTGATCAACAGAGACAGTTTTACTTTTTCCTTTCCAATCTGGATGCCTTTCTTTTTTTTTCTTTTCTTTCTTTCCTTTTTTTTGGGCGGTGGTGGTTGGGGGAGTGTGGCTCATTGCTTTGGTTAGAACTTCTAGTTCTTTGTTAAACAGCAGTGGTGAAAGCAGGTATCCTTGTCTTGTTCTTAGGAGGAGTTTTCAGTCTTTCACCACTGGGTATGTTAACTGTGGGTTTTTCATAAATGCCATTTATTACACTGAGGAAGTTCCCATCTACCCTAGTTTTCTGAGAGTTTTACCATGAAAGGCTACTGGATTTTGTCAAATGGCTTTTTTACCTTTAGTTTGATAACAGAAGAGGGACAATATGAATAGTCAGGCATAAAACATTTACCAAGTTTGGACAATGGACAAGGTCACTGAAATTTTCATGTGCTAAAATTTGTTTAACCTTGTCTGTTTAATATTTTCTTGAATAAAGAATCTGGAAATTGTGTGTTTTTTCTTCACCAAATTTATGAGAGCCTGGAAATTTTCTTTTTCCCCCAGTTTTCACAGCTACCACTGTATTTAGATTATCACCTAGTTTAACTTGTAACATCTCCCTTAGGTTTCTTCCTTGTCCAGTCGTCCCTCAGATGACATTATTTCACTTCTCCTCTAAAATTTACAGTAATTCAAATCCAAACATACTTGTTTGGGACAGACCTTTTTTTAATCAAATGTAAATTCCATTCTCATTTTTTACTATCTATATAGTTCTCTGTTGAGTCAAAAACAGCTATTTACCGACTGTTGAGAGTAACTTTTTAATGTCCCCTTTGTAAATATAATCTTCTCTATCCAGAATATTTTTTCTGTTCTCCCCTTACACCAATGCATCTCTTTGCTCCTTTGAAACTTACGCAACTGATTAGCCCTTTATTAAGTTTATCTGACACTGTACTCCCTTTCTAACTACTCTAAAATTTTTTTCTACTCTAAAATCTTTCTCCCATCTGGTTCGTAATTCTCCTTAGGATGGATTCTCTATTTCTTTTGTATTCTAAGAAAATGGAGGTGGGGAAATGGAAAAACCAACCAGGGGCTTTGTAAGTAGACTGACTCAAACTCTACCACTTACAACAGGGATGTAAGGATTGAACAGAAAAACAGAAATAAAACCTCCTGTAAAGGAAGAGTACAATTTTTGCCTCTAGTGCTTAAAACAGGAACTCAGTAGATTCTGAACATTTAAATGACTGTAAAAAAGATTTTTGAGCAAACCTTTTTCTCAACTTCCAAAGGAAGTCTCACATCTCTTCTTAGGAAAAGCTGTGGTGTCTCCCTTTGGGGATCCAAATTAGTCAATTCAGCAAGTATTTCTGGCCAGTCACGAACATGTTGCAATGGTTTATGATAAGGCTTGAGTTGAAGGCCTGAAAAACATCTTTCCTTTTATAAATGATAATGTAAAAATGAACCAATTATATCAACACATAGAAACTTTTTATCAAACTCTCTGTACCTAAGTACTGAACACACACAAATTATAGATCTAAATTTAAATCAATATTGACTTTAATCAACATTACTACCCAATTTGAGGTTAATTGTTTATTAAGAATATAAGAATTATGAGACTAAATCTGAAAATGAATTTATCAAATATATTTAAGATCCTTAATTCCATGATAGCCTATTTAATGAGAAAATCAGTAGAATTTGGTGTTTAAAAAAATACAATTAAATCACTAGATAACCAATCACAACCACCTCAATGAAATCCCTTATGTATCTGCAATACTTTGTCTGAGAGACAAATCTATAATGACATTGGGTCGAGTTTAAATAACAAAGATCTGATAGAAAACCAATATACAGAAAAAGAAAATCTGTATTTTCTGAGATGAGGTGAGCACTGAAAATAAAGGCAAGTTGGATGAGCACTACGTTTAACAGCATTCAAATCAAATTCATTGCCAAAGAAAAATGTTTTGGTTTTTATCATTTCAAACATTGTACGCGGGCTTCCCTGGTGGCACAGTGGTTGAGAGTACGCCTGCCGATGCAGGGGACGCGGGTTCGTGCCCTGGTCCGGGAGGATCTCACATGCTGCGGAGCGGCTGGGTCCGTGAGCCATGGCCGCTCAGCCTGCGCGTCCAGAACCTGTGCTCTGCAGCGGGAGAGGCCACAACAGTGAGAGGCCCGCGTACCGCAAAAAAAAAAAAAAAAAAAAAAAAAACCATTGTATGAACAAAGAGGGGCCAGGAGGAAGCAGAGGCTTATATGTTTCAGCAGTCTGAACATAAACAATCTGTGTAAAAGAGAAGAACACTGTCTCATTTGAAAATTTAAAAGTCAATAATAATTGATGCTATACTTAAGTTTACCAACCCACTCTCAAAAAGGAATAATCAGGTTTATACAACAGAATAACAAATTTCTTACTGAGATTTTCTGAACAGATCCAAATAGTGAAATATTGCTGTGTTTCTTGAGAGAGACGCATTCCTTCCATTATCTGCTGCACTGAGGTATTATTTCCATGCTTCAGTTCAACAGAACGGTATGATCCATCCATTCTGTATATTCGAACTTTTTCATACTAGGACAAAGAATGATAATAAATTATGCAACCTGGTTATAAATTATACATCCCAGTACAACAAAATGCTTTAATTTCAACTTCATCTGCTTAAAAACAACTTCAAGTGAGAATCTTCTGGCAGTATTTTATTTATTTATTTTTGCCTTGCCATGTGGCTTGCGGGATCTTACTTCACCAACTAGGGATTGAACCTGCACCCCCCCTGCAGTGGAAGCACAGAGTCCTAACCACTGGACCTTCTAGCGATATTAAAAAAAATTTTTTTTCATTATTTATATTTTCTAACATGTTTTCCTCTGAATATTCCATGGTCAAATAAGTTTGAGAAACTAAGGCAAATGGGTTTTTAAAAAATATTCAACTTCAAAATCTTCTGAAAGTATATTTTAAAGCCATTAATGTACAATGTAAATATCAAATGGGGGATATAGACTTGGTTAACTAAATCTGGTGTTAGTCAAGTACCTCGTGAGCTTAGTGAGCCACAAATTAGAATGTAGAAATGTGTACCAGCAATAATTTGTCCTAAGAGGAATCTGTGATAGAAGACTTTGCAGATAAAAGTTATGAAACAATGGACCATGAGCCAGTTTCTTTCCTCCTGTTCAGAAAATCCCAGAGAGAAATGATATTCTCAATACATTTTTATTGTTATAGGAAGTAACTGATGCCACCAAACAACTTCCAGGACAGTTCATTTTAGATAAAAGTACCTAATTCCTTTTATACATTCAGACATAAAAATTATATAAGAAATAAAAATGGTTTTTTACAAAATTTATTTATTTATTTTTGGCTGTGTTGGGTCTTTGTTGCTGCACACGGGCTTTCTCTAGTTGTGGCAAGAGGGGGTTACTCTTCACTGCAGTACACGGGCTTCAGCAGTTGTGGCTCGCGGGGTCTAGAGCACCCTCAGTAGCTGTGGCGCATGGGCTTAGTTGCTCCACAGCATGTGGGATCTTCCTGGATCAGGGCTCAAACCCATGTCCCCTGCATTGGCAGGCAGATTCTTAACCACTGTGCTGCCAGGGAAGTCCCTAAAAATGTATTTTAACTATACAAATAGAAAACAAATTGCAACGAAGTATAACATAAGGGTGCCTGTACTGCTTATCTATTTCCTTGCTTTTGTCCTGTACTCAGGGAATAGTGTTTTGACAAAAATGTGTATGAATGTGTGTAATTTTCCTTAAAGGCAGAGATCATGTACTGAATAAATAAAGAATATGTATTCTTTATCACATCACTTTCAGCATTTTATGGTGTTAAATTTACAAAAATATTCAACAAATACTCATTGCCTACTTAATAGAAATGTCTGGAAAGGCTCAAACATATGGGTTATACCTGTTGGTATAAAACTTTTATCCTTTATCAGTTGGTATAAATCCTTTTATCTGGTTTTCAAGTTTCCAAACAATTTTTAAACTGATAACAGTTTTAACATCACTATAACTTTCAGGCATAACTGAGTTTTTTCTAATTGTTAATTCTTCTCTATTTTAATGTCACTGCTAATTATTTTGTACATAAGTAGGTGGAAAGGCCAGGTTGAATTGGCAGAATAAAAGACTTAGAAATCTCCTATTTTAACCCATTCACTATCTTGAGGAGGAAGATGAATCTGTAATAGATGACAACTTGCCAAAACTAAATTACCAAATGATGTGTAATATTATTATTGGGTTGGCCAGAAAGTTCGTTCAGGTTTTTCATACATTATGGAAAAACTCAAATGAACTTTTTGGCCAGCCCAATATTTACAAATATATTACTTAGAAGGCCTAAGTAGAAAGAGATGCTCCAATGAATAGGTTAAAATTTGTAATCAGCATACCAAGTATACAGATTACACTGGAAATCAGATTAATTTTAACTGATCGAAAGATTTATTTATGCAGTTTTATTTTGATATGCAAGAATAAATATCCAAATGTTAGGGATGATAAAAAATTTAATACCTATGAAGTCTAACCATGAGGTTTTATAAAAGCAGGAAAGAAGCCATCCATACATTTATATCCTTCCACCCTTGACACAGATCCTCAAATTACTTATCAATTTAAATACAATGCTTGGCTCTAATTAGTATTTATGAAGATAATTCTTACTGGTTTGTTAATGGCTTCCTTCAACAATTTTGCAGCTTCTTCCCAATTATTTTGTTTGTTTTCTTCACAAATATTTAAAGGAGATCTTCCTTGTTGGTCTGTTATGTGCTAGAAATGTGGGGGAAAAAGGTTAAAGATAAAAGGCATTAAAAATGTACAAATAAGGGAAAATATCAAAGTTTCATTACAAAACTATTGTCAAGTGTTAAGTACATATTAAGCAAACTTAGTGCATGCTATACTTAAACATGAACTGCCAAAGATGACTCAAAGCACTAATCAATGTGATTATTGTTTTTCAAAAGTTCTGATTATAGGGCTTCCCTGGTGGCGCAGTGGTTGGGAGTCCGCCTGCTGATGCGGGGGACATGGGTTTGTGCCCCGGTCCGGGAGGATCCCACATGCCGCGGAGCGGCTGGGCCCGTGAGCCATGGCCGCTGAGCCTGCGCGTCCGGAGCCTGTGCTCCGCAGTGGGGGAGGCCACAGCACTGAGAGGCCCGCGCACCGCCCCCCCCCCCAAAAAAAGTCTGATTATAGTAACAACAAAGGTTTTGTTAAAGCTTTTTTTAAAAAAAATTTATTTATTTAATTTATTTTTGGCTGCGCTGGGTCTTTGTTGCTGTGCACGGGCTTTCTCTAGCTGGGGCGAGTGGGGGCTACTCTTCGTTGTGGTGCGTGGGCTTCTCATTGTGGTGGCCTTTCTTGTTGCAGAGCACGGGCTCTAGGTGTGTGTGCTCAGTAGCTGTGGCTCGCAGGCTCTAGAGCACAAGTTCAGTAGTTGTGGTGAATGGGCTTAGCTGCTCCGCGGCATGTGGGATCTTCCCGGACCAGGGCTCAAACCCCCGTCCCCTGCATTGGCAGGTGGATTCTGAACCACTGCACCACCAGGGAAGCCCCAAAATACTTGTTAATACAAATTCCAAAATATCCTTTTCCTTCTTAAAGATATTTTTGAGAAAATACACTATAAAGTGAAAAGAGGTTAAATTTTATGTACATTCTGTAGATGCATGGCGGTGATGGTTCTAAAACAATGTAAATGTACTTAATGCCAATATACATCTAAAAATGGCTAAAATGGTAAATTTTATGTGAGACATATTTTACTATAATCTAAAAAAGTATGTACAAAAGCAAAGTATACACATAAATATTACTTATTCTATATAGTAAGTGAAATTTGTTTTTATTTTTCAGCTGACCTCTCAAGTGTATAACTTAACATTTTAGTGTCATTGTTATTCACTGTTTGATCATTAAAAAAAAAAAAAAAAGCCTGGAAAATAACTTACTCTGTCAACTTCTGGATGGTTTAGGAGAATCTGTACTATTTCAGCATGTCCTCCTCCAGCAGCAAAATGAAGAGGAGAACTAAGTTGTCCATTTAAAAGGTTTGGATTGCACTTTCCCTTCTCTAACAATATGCGAGTGGCTTCAACTTTTCCATACCTATAAAAAAATAAAACACCTAAAAAGTCACCTGAAATGTTTGAAAAATCCAAATTTTAGACAATATCTAAGATCTTTCTAGGGCAGAGAACAAGCAATGAAGACACAGATGTAATGTTTTCAATGCTTAGGGATTTCTTATGAATTACTCTGATTCAGTTCAACTGTTTCTATTTCTGATCAACTGGAAGAAAATATAATCTCAAATACAAGATAGAGTAGATGACAGAGAATCACTATCACACAAAATACAATACAAAAATTATAAATCAGGGAGATAAAAGTTTTAGTCAAAATTCTTTTCAGAAGCAGAAAGTAACCCATAAATTTAATAATGCTTTTTACTCAGCCCTGCCTTTGATTTACAAAATAGGCCCAAAGACATATTCTCCACATAGCTGCTGTATGAGGCAATGTGGGAGACACAAAGATATGTTACAATGAACGGTCTCTGCTCTGGTAAAGGCTTATAATGTAATCAGAGAGGAAAACAAAAACATAAGATAAGTTACATAACACTGTAAAATTTAAGTAACAGTTGAGGAGAACGATCAAAAAATATATATTTGTCAAATCATAATAGTATATAATTAATGCTTTAAAAAATGTTGGAAAAGGAAGATAAGATTTCAGTCTCAGTTCTGAAAAGTGTTCTGATAGAAGAATAATTTGAACTGGATTTTAAATAGGAAGAAGCTGAAGAGATGCTGAAGAGAAGTAAATATTCTAGATAGTGGGAAAAAGAGTACAAAGAATGTGCGAGACATAGTGAGTCCACCATTTGGTTATAAAGACTTATATAAGGTCGCACTCTAATGCAATGGTGGAAAGGTAATTCATTTTTTGGAAATAAATGGGTAGAAGGGGAAAGGAAATTTGCTTTTAAATATGGTGCATTTGAGGGGAAAATAGCATCTTTAGAACTAATACGATTTGCTGTCAACTTTCTTCCCCTTCACATACCCTATGGTTTTCCTACATCCTGAACCTGCTAATTGTATCCTAGCCTTCTTATTCATATGACTGTTTGCTCATGTTCTTAGCTATTCTTGAGATGTCCTTTTCCCCCTCCTGACTTTGTTTAGGTTAAGTTCTATTATTTCTCTGAAACAGTTTAAAATCTACCTCCTCTATATTCCCACTACATTTTACCATTTCAGTTTTAGTTTTTAACCTCATTTTATCTACTTTCATCCTTGTATATATACATTTCTATCAGCCTGGAAGCTCCTTGAAAGTTATGTCTTTGCATTCTCCAAACTGCCTTATGTATATAAAAAAAAAAAGAAAAAAAAAAGAGGGACTAAATTGTTCAGTTGGCAATTGAAAATGCAGACTTGGTACTCAGGAGGAAGGCAAAGGCTTGAGATATCTAAGAATATGCAAATTCATCCAACTGAGAAGAATTACTGTTAAGGCTGGGAGGAATGGATGAAATCTTTCTGAGAGAATTTTGAGAAAGATGAACATTTTAGAACAATGAAATGCATCTTGAAAAACACTTTCAGGATAGGAAAAGATACTAGGGGAGCAATTCAAGAATAAAAATAATATAAACATATTTTGTATGATTCTTTAAAGTTTTCAAGGTACTTCCTTATATAATTACTTAATATAATCTTCACAGCAAATTATGATGCAGGCAGAGATATTTCTAGTGCACAGATGAAAAAAATGAAGCTTGTACCAGTTAAGTAACTTGCCCAAGGTCTCATGGTTACCAGCCAGTTAGAATCCAGTTTTCTGAATTGTGGTATAGATGTTTCCATACTATAAACACATGCTTGGGTCACAGAATGGAGACCAGTATTTCAATAATAATAATAATGGTATCAGTTATATCTTGCATTTGTACTGACCTTTACTATAGCTCCATTATAGCTGTTCTTTCAACTGCAATTTGTTCCTTGAACAAAGGGGTGGTCAACAGCATTTAATGCAGCAGAGCAGGGAAAGAGATTAAAAACTCAGAAAAGGTTAAGAAGGTTCATGAAGAGTGAAAAAGAGAAGTCTGGCTATGAAAGGAAGGGAATAAACAGGATAGTGGCCAGAAGAGCCAGCAGGTTCAAATTAAGGTTCTTTTTCAAGGAGGGAGAGGAACCATGTATGTTTGAAGACAAGAGGAAAGAAAGTGCAGAAAATTAAGAAGTGAATTTGATGGGGAACAAGAAGGATTTTTCATGCAAACTCTATGATACAGGAGAGAGATGGGAACAAAAAAACTGATGATTGGGGTGGAGAAGAAGGACATTTCTGATGGCGTCAACTGTCTTTGAAAATAGGGGGTAAAACTATCTGATGAGAGTAGAGAAAAAAGGTAGTGGAAGTTTAAGTGCTTAAGAGTAGAAAGATTTAGAATAGTTTATAGGGGACCAAAAGGCTGCCAAGATGAATGAGACAAAGACAACACACAACTGGCTACAGTGAAGGCCCAAATGAAATCAGATGGAATAATTTGTGGGGAGCCAAATCATCATAGTTCTAAAATACTCTTTAGCAATGATATGAAGCCTGAAGGTACTATCAGAGAGAGAAGATACTGATTTGAGAGAGGTGAGAAAATATGAGATGTCAGTGAGACTTTTACTGAGTGGCTGACAAGTTACCCATAAGGGGAGAAAGCCAACTTAAATAGTTTTGGAAAATGGTGATTCTAGTAAAGAAAATTTTTAGGCACATGTCATCAATATGAGAATTTTTGAAGCTTGGAGTAATCCTAGGAGTGATTTAATTAAGTGGTCCTCAAAGAGTGATCCAGAAACTCTTTGATCTCTGAAATCTTTTCAGGGTGTCCTCTTGGTCAAACATATTTTCATAATAATACTAAGATGTTATCTGCCCTTTTCATTATCATTTTCTCATAAGTGTACGATGGAGTTTTCTAGAAGCTACCTGACATGAAAATTGCAGCAAATTAAAGGCAGAATCAGATGTGAGAATCCAACTATCTCCTACAAGGCTAGTCAGTAAAAAGATGCAAAAATGTAAAATAATGCTACTTTTCTCATTAATTTTTTTGTTTTTGGAAAATAAGGGCATATTTCATAAAACTTTGTTATTTATGTTAATATATGTTTACTGTTATTTTAAAATGAATTAAGAAATGCTTGAAATATTTTTCAGTTTAAACTTCTAATATAGTAACACTAGATATACTTCACATAAACCAAAGCTAATTGGGATCCTGTAGTTTTGAAGAATGACAAGGAACCCTAACACAAAAGTTTGAGAACCACTGATCTAATAAAACCACTCATTTTAAAGATGAGAAAACAGAAAAAGATGGGTAAAACATCTTGTCTAAGCTTATAAAGATAGGCCCCAAATCCCAGTCTCTTGATGAGATAGCCCAGTATTCCCCTTCTCAATCCTCGTACCAGTTAGTGAGTAAGAGTACATTTCCAAGATAAGGTAATTTATGTTCTTTACTAAACAGTTAAATCAGTCTTCATTCAAATTCACATGAATCAAATTATCTATCTTATTAAAAGTATTGCAGGACTTTCCTGGTGGCGCAGTGGTTAGGAATCCGCCTGCCAATGCAGGGGACACGGGTTCGAGCCCTGGTCCGGGAGGATCCCACATGCTGTGGAGCAACTGAGCCCGTGAGCCACAACTACTGAGCCTGCGCTCTAGAGCCCACGAGCCAAAACTACTGAGCTCACACGCTACAACTACTGAAGTCCGCGCGCCTAGAGCCCGTGCTCCACAACAAGAGAAGCCACCGCAATGAGAAGCCTGCACACCACAATGAAGAGTAGCCCTCGCTCACCACAACTAGAGAAAGCCCGCGCACAGCAACGAAGACCCAATGCAGCCAAAAATAAAAAAAATAAAAAGTATTGCAAGGTGACCTATACTACTAGTGGTGTATTAAACTTGGTTATTATTTCCAGCTAACAGAAATTAGTTTTATCGAAGGATAAAACTCTTCCTTGGTGTATTGCAGTAATACGACTTTACAAATAAAAATACAACAGGTAATGAATTTTAGATTCAGACATCAAAATCTTTAAATTTTTATAACACTTTAATAACAGACAACATTTTTTGAGTGCTTATTACTGCCAGGTACCCTTCAAAGCATTTATTTGCATTTTCTCCTCTAATCTGAAGAGAGGCACTAAAATTAAGCTCATCTTTTAGATAAAGAAACAGATCCTTAGAGACATTAAGTAATTTGCTAAAGGCCATACTTTTAGGAACTAAAAGTTTCAGTTGGGTCTGAAACGTAGGTACATTCCAAAGCACATTAAATACTATACCATACTTCTGTTTTTATGTAATAGGCAGTTGAAAATATTACCATTCTTTTAATAGAGAAGAAAAAAAGGCCCTGCCGCAAAAAGGGCAACAATATAGGCAAATATAAATTTGGGATTCCTAAGCTAAAATTTACTGCCTCTGTCTTTTTCAATTCCACAGTGTACTTTCTTGGAGTTTGAACTATATTCTCTACCTCTTTCTGTTTAGCTCAACAAAAAGCATGTGATTTCTTCTGGTACTGCTGCTGCTACCACTATCTACCAGTAATCTGAAGAAACAACTGTAAGTTCAGTGAAAGAAGATTTAGGGTAACTCTTTCCAAATCTGAGTATAAAAATTCCCTGTAATGATAAAACAATTAAGAATACATTTATAGAATAAAAGATTATATTTTTAAGGAAACAGAAAAAAAATTAAGAGCATATTTATTTAATAAAGGAGCATATTTTTAAGGAAACAGCATATTTTAATGGAGAAAAGATATATATTAAAAGCAACTATATTTAGCTACTAGATCAGAAATATTGATCAATAAGCTATTTGATCACAGTGAAATAAAAAGAGTTTGAGTTGAAAATGATCTAATTAATGTATTTTACATATAGATAATAAACTAAGATGCTGAGAGGTAAAGTAAAGCAGCAGTAACCTTTCTGGCACCAGGGACTGGTTTCATGGGAGACAATTTTTCCATAGATGGGGGATGGTTCAGGCGGTAGGTAACGCGAGTGACAGGGAGCGGCAGATGAAGCTTCGCTTGCTCGCGCTCACCTCTTGCTGTGCGGCCCGGGTCCTAACAGGCCGCGGACAAGTACCGGTCCACAGCCTGGGGGTTGGGGACCTCTGAAGTAAAGTCACTTGCTCAACGTCATGCAGCTAAAAAGTTGTGGACTTTAACAGGCCGTAAATAGTGCAGGCACTTCTTAAACTAGCCAAAGAAGTTCACTTTAAACAGTAAGTCAAAGGCAACTTTCCCATAAGAAATAATAGTAAATAACTTAATTACATCCTTTCTAGAGGACAGGCTACAGCAAATAGTTAACTACTGCTACGAACATAAATTTAAGAACGTAACCCAGGCTGAGGGGAAGAGTTATTATTATGTGAGAAGAGTACCAGAGCAAGAACTACACTGGGCAACTAGTGGAAAGAGCTAACTCCAATCCTGTGAGCTAATCCCTCTCATAAAAAAAAAAAAAAAAAAAGGAAGGCTTTAATTCTAATGAAAACTTTTGGTGTTTCCTGATACCACAGCTTTCCAAAGAACTAAAAGAATACTTTTCTAACATGATGCAAGGTCAAATCATAAGTAGCTAACACATGTAAATTTTATAAGGATAGGGCTTCCCTGGTGGCACAGTGGTTAAGAATCCGCCTGCCAATGCAGGGGACACAGGTTTAAGCCCTGATCTGGAAAGATCCCACATGCCACGGAGAAACTAAGCCCATGTGCCACAACTACTGAGCCTGAGCTCTAGAGCCTGCAAGCCACAACTAATGAGCCCATATGCCACAACTACTGAAGCCCACGTGCCTAGAGCCTGTGCTCTGCAACAAGAGAAGCCACTGCAATGAGAAGCCTGTGCACTGCATCTAAGAGTAGACCCCACTCACTGCAACCAGAGAAAAGCCTGCACGCAGCAACGAAGACCCAACGCAGCCAAAAATAAAAAATAAATAATAATAATAAAATAAAATATAATAAGGATAAACAAACATAACACAATTCCAGTACAAAACAATAGAAATTGCAAGGGTGAATAAGGGACTGTGTGCTGTGCAATGGCACTTGCTAGTCATTAGCTATCCTACTGCATGACCTCAGGATGCCTGAAAACATTAATGATACTTTTCCTGTGGGGCAGACCTTGTAAATCTGAATGGTGTGGCACATACACAGTAATCAAAGATTACTACAGAGAAAGCTCATAAGGCAAACATGGTAGAGGAAAAAGTGGCTGGAATGAGAGCAGCTTTGAAAAGAAGCACTAATATTTATAAACTAAGGATTCATTCTTTCTAAAAACAAAAGAATAATCTATTTACCAGCATGCATAATGAATGGGTGCCCAGTGGTCACTATCTAATTGGTTGACTGAAAATCTTTCATTGAGAAGTCGGCTTAATAATTCCGAATCTCCTTCACAGGCACTTCGATGGAGAGGAAAATCATCTACCCATTGTCGTTCCCTAATCATTAAAAGAAAAGAAGAAAAAAAAAAACAGGCACTGTTGAAATTCATATTGTTTTGAAACAAATGCGACATATCTATGAAAGCTATGTTTCACTGAGCAGCTGTAAACTAAATCATTTATGTAATGATTACATTGCATACTAATTGCATATATCATTTTAAACAGTATTTTAACATTCGAATTAGGTGTTTAAAAAGCAATGTGAAGGAAAACCAGAACAATACTTGTCTTCTGTGACACTGCTCATGCTTCTCTGCCATTTTTCCTGTTTGGGAATTTGGATTTTTGAGTAGTCTGGAGCTCCTAGACCAAAGTATGGATTTATTACCACTTTATCTACCTAGAAAGGGAAAACAAAACAAAACAAAAACAAAAACAGCTTTAGATACTGAGCTTTAGACACCTGACTTTGATGTATAAAAATAGAGCTAAGTACGGATGTCATCTTAATGTTTACAATTAGTAATAGATGCATTTATCTCAGGAAAAAAATTACATTTGAAATGACATGTCTTTTGAAATCAAAGCCAAAATTCATTCAACTCTTACCCGGTTTGTATATTGAAGATCTGATCCAAACAAAGGGTTGTAAATACAGGTATCTGCTTTCTCTAGGGCTAACATTTTACTCTTTATTTCTAGTGCACTATAGCCCATATGTAGTGAGTTTTCTGTCTGACCTGATTCAGTAGCATATGCAGGGTTTATAACATTAGTTTTTATCCGCTCAAGAGGAGAAGGTCGGAATAAAGCCGGAATAAAGTGAGATTGTGCATGACGTTCATCTAACCACCTGGCAAAATAAAAAGAAGAGGTAGTAGATGTATTTGTTAAAAAGTGAAGATGAAAAAACTAAACTACTATCCAACTCTGATGTGTGATTCTTTCTAATACTACATTCAGATTTTTATAATTTTTTTAAAAAATAAATTTATTTATTTATTTTTAGCTCTGCTGGGTCTTCGTTGCTGCGCGCAGGCTTTCTCTAGTTGCGCGAGTGGGGGCTACTCTTCAGTGATGTGCACAGGCTTCTCATTGCAGTGGCTTCTCTTGTTGCAGAGCACAGGCTCTAGGTGCATGGGCTTCAGCAGTTGTGGCACACGGGCTCAGTAGTTGTGGCTCGTGGGCTCTAGAGCTCAGGCTCAGTAGTTGTGGTGCACGGGCTTAGTTGCTTTGCAGCTTGTGGAATCTTCCCGGACCAGGGCTCACACCCTTGTCCCCTGCATTGGCAGGAGGATTCTTAACCACTGTGCCACCAGGGAAGTCCTGGGATTTTTATAATTTTAATTAGTGTTAAGTACTTCATTTACTGTAAATAAAAGTGCTGTTATTGGACATAGCAAACTATTTTTTTTAATGCATGTAACATAATAATAATTAAAATCCTTTTCAAAAAACATGAAGCCCTTTAAAAATTTAAACCACTGAGATGTAGGTGACATTAGACCTGCTGTTACAGAAAGACAAAAGGCATGACAGGTGAAACGACTTGTTCACTGATAAGGGTAAATCAATACTAAATCCAGTTTTATAACAAAGGAATCTTAATTCTTAGGCCAGGGCAATCTTTGTCATTTTCTAAGAATAAACTTAACATGTTGCAAGCAAATCAGGACAATCTTGTCTTTGGGGTTTAAAATTTTTATATTATACTTCAAAAACTTACCATTTCTTAATATATATATTATTAATTTTATTATTTTCTTCCAAAAGAATTTCTATCTCTCAGAGCTAATATCTAATATGAACATGTATTTGATTTATTAAAAAATATTTTTAATGGCAGTTCTTACTTATCCAAGGCTATTAACATTCTTGCTGTAAGTGCAGCAAAGTGAGTGCTGGATTCACTACAGACTCGCATAATATCTTGTAAGCAGTAAAAAATTGGGCATCCTGGAGTATACGTATATTTAGTATTATCTGAAAAAGAAAAATGAAGAATTATGCCATCATATAAAAGGTTTACGACTGCATGATTTTTATTTAAAAGTACACAGTATGTTAAAAAAAATTGTTAAGTATAACATAAATTGTTCTAGATTTTAAATTAGTAGACTTGGATTCAATTGCTGGCCAGCTCTGTGACCTTATCCATTTGGGTGAATGCAGGATTTAGAATCCTGGAGGACTACAGAAATTGTTTCCCCTTTCTCTTCCTCAACAATGTTGTAAAATTCTGATTAATAATAAGGTTACCAGCACCATTTAACATACTGATCTGTTTAACCTAAGTATGGCTGGGGAAAAAAAAATTCTGTAATGGTAGAGCTGGCTAATAAAATACGTGTAAGTACTGTGTAGTAGCAGTCTGATGAGATGTCCACAGTGGGTCATTAATATATCATTAGTATTATTACGGCCTTACATGAGGCCAGTACTCTACAGGTTCCAAAGTGATTTTTACATCTAATACCTCACTGAATTCTTCCAGCACGATGAACCAAGTAGGAGCAGATATCTATCTTACAAATAAAGAGGTGAGGCTTAAAGAGGTGATTTGCCCAGAACACAAAATTAGTGGGCTGCATGGTCTGCACTGAAGCTCAATATTTTTTCTATTATTCCAGGATAATAGGATAAATTCCTTGTCAAAGCTCAAATTAAATTTTCATATTAGATCTAAGTTCTTTAAATATTACCACTACTGTTGGGAAGAGTATTTTAGAACTATTACTGACACTTTCTTTTCCCAAATATAAGATAGGTTCCGATCATAATCTGTTAATTTTCCAAAATACATAAATTTTTATTTCTATTCTACCTATATAGCACAGTCTGAAAAATCCCTCATTATAAGCTAAAATCTTTTTGTTTCGATTATGGCTTCCTTCCTCACTTCTTTGTTCTACTTTTAAAAACAGAAACGAAAATATTACTGATCAGTCTGGAAGCCTGAATATTACTTTGAAATCAAACCATCTTTTTAAGTAACAAATTTCTCCATCTTCCATTATCTTAAAAACATATATTCTATAATAGTATTACAATAGTAACTATGAATCCAAATTCCTAAGTTCCTCAACAGACTTTAGCTTAGCACCTAAGGTATACAAAGATTCATAAGGTGAAACTTAGACTTTACCTTTGACAACTGATGGAACAATAAATAATGCCGCTTCTCTGCCCATCTTCTCCCCATCCAGAGGAAATTTCTTCATTAGTACCACTCGTTTTCCTAATCATTTTTTTTAAGTCAGTAAAGATAAAAATAATGGGCCTTTTAAAATCTTATATATTACCTTGAGAATTAGAAAAAAATATTTTAAAGGCAGTATTAAGAGGAACTGAAATATAAAAAGTCAATTTTATTATGGGCACTAATAAAAACTGGTAATTCTGATAATAATGTAAATCATTCTGTGGACAATCAACCAATAGATCCCCTGTTCTGACTCACTAAAAGAGAAGCTTCCTATACGTAGCAAGGAAAACCATCCTGCTAAGGACTGACAGAGCAGCTGAACAGCAACACATCCTGCAAGGTGAACAGGCATATACTTCATTCAGTTGGGATGTAGATGGTAAGAGTTTCACTGAAGTCTAAGCTGGCCAAGAAGCATAGTGTACATAAACTGCAAAGTCTTAAAGTTTAGCAGCTCTTCATTTAATATTCAACCTCCACTCTCAATTTCAGTTTTTATTAAAATCTGATTGGGCTATAAACTATTGTTCTGAATTGTAACCAACATTCTCTTTTTTTTTTTTTTGCGGTTCGCGGCCTCTCACTGTTGTGGCCTCTCCCGTTGCGGAGCACAGGCTCCGGACACGCAGGCTCAGCGGCCATGGCTCACGGGCCCAGCCGCTCTGCGGCATGTGGGATCTTCCCTGCGCCACCAGGGAAGCCCGTAACCACCATTCTTATACTTAGTCTGTTGTTCCTGATTTGGCAGCAAGGGGGCTATAAATAACAACCTACAAGTCTTTCACTCTAAAACCTTTCATATTCTGGATATCTTTGTCATAATTTTTATCAACCCTTCCAATCTCCCCATCCCAAGAAATAGAACCTTGTTCTTGACCCAGGTAGGAATGCCTGGCTGGATGCCTTCTGCGGACAGGTAGATAATATGAGCTCAAGCAGCTTCATTCATTCACAAAATGCTGGAGTCAATATTTGTGATTATTATGGCACATTATTATTATAGCCCCCAAACAATTTTTTACAAAATAGACACTTGTACAAGATATAAGTGTTAGATACATTCTAATAAATTTCAGAGGCAATATTTCTTTTGTCTGGCTTGAGGTCTTGTCCCACTTAATCTTTCCTGCCTTGCAGCTTCCCTAAATCCAGTTCTGATCCATTGTTTAATTGCCTACTTTGCAAATTATATATGCAACTATGAGATCTGTCATGCGGGAAAGAAAAGCACTGATTACAAGTTGGGAAATGAGGTTCTAGTCCTAACTCCTCCACTAATGGGAATATGATTTTTGTAGGTGACAACCTATGTTTGCATTTCCATTTTACAGATGTAAAAATAACTATATACTAACTCACAGGACCAATTTAAGAATTTCATTAATAAGTAATTGTGGTAGTGTTTTATAAACTATATATAGCACTGCACAAAAAGGCACAACTACTGCTATTATAAAGTCATTGGTAATTTTCATGTGATGCTTATATAAGAAATCATATTACTCTATAAAAATATTTCACACTTTTAGAAAACCTCAATTGAATAGGATAGTCAGGTATGGCATGGTTCATTGATATAACTGTCTATTTAGTTAAGTAAAACTTCTTTACTTTCATTTCTCTTATTAAAAGCTACCTGAAAATGTATTAGTACATTCTACTGTCTAAGTATATAAGATATAATTGTGCTAGACATGTTTCAGGGTGCCTATCCACTTGTAACTTCTCCTAAGAAAAACTACCCAGCCCTCTGGGCCGGGGGATATTTTTGTTAACACTGATATCACTTATATCCCCCTGCTTGGTAAATGAACCAAGTGGTAGAGTTTGGCTAATTCATAGCAAATTATGACTTGTCTATCTCAGCTCAAATATGTGATTTGGGCTCAGAATTTGTCTCAGTAATTTGATCTCAGAATAGATCCTGATAACTATAACAATTTAGTGATAGTAAAACAAATCTGGATGAAAATTTATCAGAGAAGTCCAAGACTGAGGTAGAAAAGGCTGACAAATTTGTGGCATCCAAAAGAAGAGCCTTTCACTTGCCTTGATCACCCACAGGGATAGTCCCCCTTTTTAGCTAAGATCAATTTCTAGATCATTTTATTTAAAAAGTCAATCTGATAATTAGGGAAAGGGGATTCTCTCTGTAGTACTCAGAATGTGTATCAAAGATCTGTAAATTTATGCAGGAACTTCTTATAATCTCGAGTTACAATGCTTAGAGCCCCAAGCCACAAAAACCCTGCAGGCCCTATTGAGGAGGTTACCAGTTGGGGAGATAAATATGGTGAATGGTACCTCCAGAAGTTATGAAACAGGCTTAGTTCAGCTATCTCTAGAGAACAACTATCCCAAATAACCAACAAATCAAATTACAGGATTCAGCCTTATCTCTGCAACAAAAATAGTCTCTTTAGTGAGAGAAGAATTAGACAACTAATCTCTATAAAGATGAACAAATAGAAAAAAACACTAAATAAGCTTTAAAAAACTGAAAACTAGGCACAGAGAGGTATGCTTTACCTCACTATCAGCAATTGTTTTCAACTGCTGTTTGACTGAAATTAGCTTTACCTTTTTAATTATAATGCCTGAATCCTGGACAGAGTATATAATTTCTGTAACTTCTGCTATATGCTTCTTGTGAGGCCACAGCCTGATAAAATTGATCATTAATGTTTAATCAGTTTCATAGGCTATAGATTATCTAATATTTTTAATGAGGCCTGAACCTTTCAGGGTGAATACTTCTACAATTTATTTTGGCTCTTTGAAAATGATCTTCTTCTTGTGACCAAATGGGAAGAAAACCTCTGCTGACTGGTAATTTATAGGACTTGCTCTAATACACAAAATCTTAACTGTTACTTAGTTATGGAGAGAGCTTTATAGTTTTCTCTTGTCCTGGAGTAGAGAAACAAACATAGTAGTTCACAGATACTTATCTAGGGAAATACACTTCTAACAAAAGTAATTTTGTGCTTTCTTTTAATTTTTAAGCCACCTGTTGGCTTCCTCTCTCTCTTGAACAAATCATTAACACAATTTAAATATTTTCAATTTTTTTTTTACTTAAAATTATCTAAACATTTCAAAAATATTTTTTAACTTAAAAAAATTGTTAAGTTGCTTTTTGAAGGGGGCTTGGCTGCACCTTAAAAAAAAACCCTAGAAATTTCTGAGTCTTTTTCAAGTTTTTCAAATGAAAAGGAACATAAAAAGAAACTGATTTTAATCTACTTTTAAAAATGTCTTTCTCCACAAGCATTTAAAGCCAACTGTGTTAAAAAGAAAAGTTTCTTACCTCTGATACCCTGGTTTGCAGGAGAAATTGGTTTGGTGGTTTCTACTACATAATCCAATATGCCTTGTGTTATTTCACTGTTGCCTTGAAGTTTAGTTTCCAACAAAACCTTCTTTCTCTTTTTTTTCTGTCCTTCAATGGGAACTTCATGCAACAAAATCTTAGATGAGAAAAATAATATTAAGAGAGTGTTTAAAATTAAATTTACTTGCCCTAGAATATAATAAGCCAGCAGTCTTTCTTAACCCTAACTGCATATAAGAATAACCTGGACTCTTTCAAAACAGTATCAATGCACAGCTTCATCTCAGACCTATTAAATCAGAATGTCAGGGGAGTGGGGTCCTGGTACTGGAAATGTTAAAGTTCCCCAGGTGATTTAACAGTGTAGCCAAGACTGAGAACCAGTAAGTCAGAGCACTGCTGAAGCAGTAGTCTCCTCAGAACCCCTGCAGTATCCCTTAATAGGTTTCAGAAAACTAACCTTAAAAAAGCAATTAAAGCAAAATACTAGAGAAGTTAGTTCAAGTTAGATTAGATTAGAAGTATTTTATGATGCTTGAAATCTGCTGCATAGAAAAGATAACAATTCTGCTTTGGGTTTTTTTTGGCAGGAGCCTCAATCATGTTTACTAATATATGTATTCAAGACTACAGAGAAGTAACTTAATTGCCTAAAACTTAATTAAAGGTAAAGATATTTTTTAATGAACTTTTAAAAACAGTTCTTTGGGAAAACAGCCAAGAACAAAATATAGGTTGGAATTTTGAATAAGCTGAATTTTGCAATTTTTTTTTCAATTTTTGAGAGCCATTCTGTAAACTGTACTAAAAACCAAACTCTCATAAGTTATATAAGTAAAACTCAAATAAGTAACTTTTAATATCTAATAATTTATCCATATCAATGAATAGAAAAATGGTCAAAATACATGTAGCGGAAAAGACATGATGATGGGCAGATCTACGACTGTAAATTCTAGCTTGTCAAGATCAAGGTTATCAACAAGAATTTACAGGCTATGGTTATACTTTATATGTAAATGAAAATGATAATGGAGAATGACATTCAATGGTTGAAAATCAAATGTTAGTAAATCGTTCTCACTTCATATGACTTAGCTCTGTATTCCCGAGAATTGAGACTGGCAGCATTCTTTGGCCGAATAACAGCAACGTACGCATCTTCTATGTTTTCTGGATTTCCCATTGCTTTATAAAACAAAGAAATCCCCTGAAAGATTAAATTAAAGGACACATAACCACTCTGAAAAACAATTTAAAAAATAAAATGTTGATTTTTCTATCTTAGAATACATATACTATGTAAAAAGCAAGTCAGAGATAACTGATAATATGTTACCATTCAAAACCTTTGTTTATAATTTAAGATTACCTTGTCCTTTTTTCCTTTTCTATTAAAGGTAGATTTTTGTTTTTTAAAATGGGGATACATACTTTCATAGGTCTTAACAGCATAAGAATCTGCCTTTTGGACCTATAAAAAGGTGATATGATTATAAAATGTCTTGTAAATACTAAGTAAAAAATGGCTTGAACTAGCAATTTAGAATAGTACCCACTTATTTTCCATAAATTGCACAAGTGAATGTCATACTGTTAATAGTTTGGAAGCTAGAAATAGATAGCTGCCATTGACATTCTTTCCAGAATCTTTAAAAAGAACTTTGATATCTGACATTTGGATGAACTAAAGGATAGTTTATAATTTTCATTGGAGCTGCCTATCACAGACTCAAAAACATTTAGTCAGTTCATAAAAGCTTTCTGATGATGACTTAAGAATATTTCCCACTTCCATTATCAATTCCCTACATAATCCAAAAATTTTCTTCCAAATATATAATATATATATTTAAATATACATACACATGAACACTTTTTTCCCCAGACTAATTTGAAGTCTCCATTAGGCAATTTCTAACAAGTAATTGAAGTTCAAGCACTCTTGGTTGTTTGATAGTTCCATCTCTTCATTAAGTGCTATTATTAATTTTTTTTCATGGCTAGACTAAAACAAATCTCTTTGTATTGAATATATTTTATTTATTTGTTTTAAAAAAACTTCCTCTCATTTATATGCCAGTAAATTTCTAAAAGAACATCAAGCAAGGAGTTGCTTTCCTAGCCATGGTGAGATGAAACTTCTTCAGTTTTTTTTAAAGTCCATTAGGCATTAAAATGACCTGTTCATATTTAATGATTTCCTTATTGCCCCAACTCTCATAGAAAAAAAAGAGCTCATTTTCAAGAAAGGTTTTGAATATCTTTTGAGAGGAGATAGAGGACTTTACTGTTTTCTCAACTGCAATTAATAGTCATTTTGAAACCTTTAATTTGCTTCCTTGTGTAATAACAAAAGCCTTTAATTTACTTCCTTCCACTGCCTTATAACTGGAAAATTTCCTTTAAAAGAAATGTTTTTAAAATCCAGTAACTTATGACATTTTAAGTAAATGTTAGCCTAAAATTAAAAGAACCATTAAAATTATTGCACAAAATTATTTTAATTTATAAATTATTTTAAATTATAAAATTTAGTTATAAATTATAAAAAATTTTATTTTAGATTATAAAAATGTTCACTGATTTAGATACAGAGAAACTACAGCTATCTCAATAGAGAAACTACAGAAAACATTAGGATTGAGACATTTCATTTTGTGAAAAGTTTTGAAGACATTCATTTTCACTCTATACCTTGTTGAATTATTTTCAGTTCAGTTTTTCCATAAGATCATCTTAAAACCCACCTCATACAACAGCACTTTCTATACTAAGTGAAAAAGATGAGGCTTTTTTCTTTTCAGAATTTCTATTTAGCAATTACTTTTCACCTCAGATTAACAATGACTTCAAGATAATAAAACCCAACAAATTTTGAAATGTATGGATGCCTCCTTGAAGACTGCCAGCCCCCAAAAGAAAGACATTGCATTGTGAATACATTTTGTAACATATATGGCACTATTATGGAAACCCTTTTTTCTACTAAGCACCTAAAAAGAGAAATCAAGTAATTCTTAGTTTTCTAAACACGATTTAAAGCAAATCAATTCCTGCGCTGGTCAACTCATGTTAAAAAAACATCTATTAGCAAAAAAGCTTTATTTGTTAATACTTATCACTTCTCTAGAATATTTGGTATTGCACAATACACTCAATTTTTAAAAGATAAACAAATGTGATATAATTTTTAAAAACCGTGAGGGTTATAGCATTTTGTTTTTACGCCATTTAATGTTAATGTACCCCAAAGATTCTAAAAATTGAGTTTCAAGAAATAGTCATACTTGAATGTTTGAAATATACATACTTCCAGTGACATGAAAGAAGGAAACAAAGGCTTAAGTGAGGAAAAGAACAGAAGCTACTAATATATGAAGGCAAAACTGCTAGGGCAGAAACACATGCAAAAGGATTGGAAGAGGGTAATTTGAGCTAAAAATAACAGAAAAAGCTATAACTAAAATTTGTAGTGTGTTTAGACTGAATTTTAGATAAAGGTTCAAGTGACCAATAGGAAATATGTGGCATTTTCTGGAAAATGCTTAAGAATAAATGATAATATGCTGCCTAACTAATAAAGCCTTACAAATATGTAGAAGTGGTTCTCAATTGGGAGTGATACCTACGTGGGATCATTTGAAAATCTGTACGGGCATTTCTCGTCACTATGACTGGGGAGAAATGGGGTGAACAGATGCCATTTACTCCCCATGGGGGGAGGTTTGTTAACATCTTTACTAAAAACAGTCCTGTTGAACAAACTGCCAATAATGTCTTTAATGAGAAACATTTGCTGTATAGAGTACAGACAGACAAACTTTATTTATTTATTCTGGCCGCACTGCAAGGCTTGCAGGATCTTAGTCTCCTGACCAGGTATTGAACCCGGGCCCTAGGCAATGAAAGGGCAGAGTCCTAAACCACTGGACCGCCACGGAATTCCCCAGATGGACAAACTTTAAAAGTTGTTTGCAATGAAGAAAAAGAGAAGATTCAGTACATGAATATAGGTATGGTAAATTTAGTTACCAGAAGTCAAAATTGACAAGATGATTTACAAAGTACATGCTAATAGAAATTACCAATAATGATCAGAAAGTGTACTTCATGAATAAAAACAAAAAAAGGAGCATTATCTTAGGGTTCTGTAGGATGTTCCTGATCCCTTCTCCTCCATCCTTAAGCAATGTTTTTCAACCTAATAAAACCCATGTTATTATGCTTTTAAAATAATAAGTGCTAACACCTATAATGTTTATTATGTGCTAGACACTGTGCTAAGTGCTTTACATGCATTAACTCATTTTATTCTCCCCCAAACCTGATGAAGTATTATTATTATCTCCATTTTACAGGAAAAAAAAACTGAGAGTAGCTACATGCCACTTCTCCACTCTCCTGGAACAATTTAATATTTTAAAGCATTGTTACATTAGACAGAAGTGATGGCAACTAAATATCTGTAAGAATTCCCCTACAGGGATATGTTGACGATTAAAAATTTCATCCTTTTGCCACTCAAATTGGTTTATAGTAATAAAAAGAGAGGAAGTAATAATAAAGCAGAATAGAAAATAGTCACTGGTGCTACTTCTAACACAGCTTGTTTTGTCCTTGTCCTTTCAACCAGTTCTACCAATCATCAGGTAGTATCAAAAAGTACCATCGGTAATTTTCAAGTACTTTCCTTCTGTTAAGTGACATTCTATTCTGTAATTTAAGATATTTAATAATCTTCAAATAACTTCTGAATGCAATTATACTAAATCTGGCTAACAGAGAAGGAACTAAGTAATAGTGGAATTGGGAAACAAATGAATTCCTACAAGTATATTTAAGGAGGTTATTTGGGGGAGCATGATTTCATCCGTAGTATATCTAAACATGCTTTATATCAACTGCTACTATAGTTCTTCAACCCAGTTCGAAGGGGAAACCAACTAACACATTAACTCGGGTTTAAGTCGAAAAGATCATGGAATGAATTATTTGTTTTCCTACTGTTATGAAAACATTTTTGAGTTTTTGACATTTTCCCCAAAATAAGATGAGGACATCATCAAAGCAGTTAAAAGACATGATGCTGAGAGAAGCATCTGCAAGCAAACTGAAGATACAAAAACTCTCCAAGAGTGAGAAGGGAATCATGGAGGTGAGGTCCCGAGTCAGGTCAGCTAGATCAAAGATTTCTGGTGAAGCTAAAAACACCATGGAGAACCGAGCAAAGAACGAAAGCCCAAAGCCTTAAAAGATGGAGAGAGGGAAAGAGAGGAGCGGTGAGCTCCAAGGACAAGTTGTGAATCGCTTTTCCTGAAATGACAAAAATCAACACTCTGCCTAGGAGGTTTTTCCTCCGCCACCGCCCATCAGCGTCCACTAACGGAAAAGGACGTGCACGCCTCTCTGCACCGAGAGCCGCCACCCAAAAAGGGTCTTTGGCGTCTTTGTAATTACTTGTAAGAAGTAAAGTCCTTGCCTGGAAAAACTAGATGTGGATGGAGATAGTTCGGCCTCCTACCTTTCCGTTTCTCTCGCTGGAGTCTGAATCGTGCTCCTCCTCGTCTCACCCGTGTGGGGGGCCGAGGACCTCCCGGGCCACTACATTCAATTCAGTGGGTGGGACAGTCACCTGGGGGGCGGGGGACCGTCACCGCTTTCTCATTTCTCCTTCCCTTCACTTTCCCAGCGGCCAGGCCCAACTTCCTGTGACAGGAAAACAGTCGGTCGCCACCAGAAGCCACCCGGCGTGTTCGGCCGCCCTCCGCACCCCGCGCCTCGAGAGCTCTGATCTCTGGACTCGGAGAGCCTCTTGTCCACAAGCTCTTTATTGGCCTTCCCTCTCCTCTCAGCTCAGCGCCATACACACCTCACCCCCTCCCCAAACTAGGGGATTCCAGATGTTCAAAGGCCTTAGCTTTCCATCCCGATGCTACCGGGGCGAAGAAATCGCTTCCGGGTTCACGCCCCTCGCGGCCTCGCGGTTGGTGGTGGAAGAGCTTCCGGGTCGGCTGCTGAGCTACTGCCGTTCTTGTCGTTTCTAGCTGGGGCTGAGGGCTGTCTGGGGCAGGTGGCGGGCGGCTCGGGGACTGGGGTGGTGGCGGCAGTGGGCGCGCCAGCGGCTGAACCGGAGGCGGGGGAGGGGAGGGGGCGGCCCGGGCTGCAAGCGCGGGCCAGGCTGGAGCATGAGCCGGATTTGACCGCGAGGCGGAGGCAAGAGCCACCGCCCCCTCTTCTCCTCCCCCGAGTGAGGCGGCGCGGCGGCCGGAGAGGCATGGGGGCCGCCCGGCCAGTCTGAGCCTCGTCGCAGGCGCTTCCAGCTCTCGCAGAGTTCCCCGCGGGCCTCCAGGGCGCACCCTCGGCCCCGGCAGCCTTTGCCCGGCGGGCGCACCGGGGCCGGTGAGGAGGGGGCGCAGCGCGACGAGGGGCGTCCGCCCGGGTGGGTGGGGCGCGGGGAGTACCTGTGGTCACCGGCTCGGCGCGAGAGGCAGGAGCGGCAGAACTGCAGAGCTGCGGAGTCCATCCGACCCTTACCCTCAGTCCGGGAAGTAACCGTAAGTCTCAGCTTCGACGTACCGGTCTTTTTGAGGCTGTCTCAACCTATTTTCGGCTCCGAGTTCATCGCTACCGAGTTCACGCCCTTCCGGGACTCCTGCAAATGTGCCTCCCTTCATTTGTGGAGGATTGTGTGTCCCCATCCCTGAACAGTCAACATCCTCTGTCTGACCCATTGGGAGCTCTTCTCCCAGCGAATTTGCAAGCCTCTGTGTTTCGGTAGCACGTCCCATCCTCACCATCTGGATGCATCTTCTTGTCCCTCTGTCCTCAAAGGATCTATGTCCTCCCTTTTTTTCTGTTTGTACCCCGGACCTCACAGCTTCCCCCGCCCATTCTTTGAGACGTGGAAAGCCACGGGTTCGGCTGTTCTCGTGAGCTCGAGAGTCTTGAGCGGGTGGATGGATGAAAGTGAAGGGCTATGATGGGTGGGGATAGGGGCACATAGCTCTAGAGAACCTTTATTTTTGCATCTTCTGCTACCAGAAAAGAATGGACCTTTCCCCTGGACCTTCATTCCTCTCCCTTCCTGTGTATAAGCTGTTTTCTGTACGTTGCTGTTTGAGTCGCAGGAAACTGGAATTAGAGCTGTAAATTAAGAACTCCCGAGGAGGTTTTGAGGATGTCTCACAAGCTCTATTCACACGAAGTGGCATATTGAACAACCTTGTATTGAAATGAAGACCCATTCCAGGGAAGATTTACTAGTAGGTCTGAGAAATCAATGTGAAAACAAAAGTCTGATGTTTCAAATGTATTTTGGATACCTTTAGATAATTTTTTAGTGTGTTGAATTTACATTTAATTCTTAATTTAAAGTGTGTGTGTGTATGATGTGAAAATCTTTGTATTGGAAGTTTTTGCTTTGTTAGTGGTTAAAAAAAACTAAAGTGATTTTTGATCATGTCAGATTATATTTGTCAAGATATTATCTTAAATCCTTAATTTCATAGAGACTTTTTTTAAAATTGATTTGGTTCAACCATCTACAGATGTTACACACCTTTGTGCCTGTCACCTTCCTGCTTCTTAGTTAAAAAAAAAAAAAAATTAACCGTGAATATCTTCAATGTGTATTTCCAGATTTTAAACTAGGCATTTTTTCTCGTTAAAATTTGGTTTCCTTTTTAAACTACCACAGCAGAACTTTCCAGAAATTAGACTAAAAAGTAACTAATGCTGTCAGTGACTGGACAATAGTTCTTAGCTGACTTCATGCATTTTGTACTTTTCCAGGTACTGTAGGAAGCAAATGATAATTTAAGAATGATTTTCCTCTGTGAACTACAGGTTCTTTGTTATTGTTCTCTAAATTACTCTAGTTTAGACTGGTAGCTTTGGTTATTGTTTTCAGAAAACGTCATTTTGTTCAGAAAGGTAAATGTTTAATAATGATTTTTTTGTTTTCAAAACCTCCTTCTAGCAGTTGATTTGAGGTTATTATTTGATTTGTAACTGCACAGTGTTCACAAATTTTAGTTTGAACTAGGCTTAAAAGATGTATCTCTAGCTGTCTCTCTGGAATTGTACTTTACCGGCTTGTGTCAGAAGCCAAGCGCTGCACAGAGTTGAATGTATTATTAAGGGTGTGGTTTTTGCTTTTCGTAAAATTGATCAGTTTGCAAATAAAAAGAGTGGGTGCTGTAGTGAGGTGATGGGCAATAATTTGAAAAGGTCCTTCTTAGAAACAGTAAATTGACCCCTATTATTCTTGGACGTAGGGTGGAAAAGATAGGACTGTATTTTCACATTATGCTTTTTCCCGTGCCCATTGCACTGGGAATTTTGAGTTTTCAATATGAAAGTGTTCTGAAACCATGCAGACCGTGCCATAAGTGTGGGCTCTATCAGGTGGCTGCTGAGACATGGGAGAGAAGTTTTGTTTGCTACTCTTTTATACTCCTATAGCACTGCCCACTTTTGAGAGAGTTGGTTTTCTTTCTTTCCTCTTCCTTTTCTGGGGTGCACTTGAACTTGTGAAAGTGAAATATGTGTATTTACAACTTACTTGTAGGTAAAAGCTCAAGCTAATTTTCATGTATAAATAGATGGAAGAACTATGAATTAAGTCTGATTCTTCTTGAATGGAAGTTAGGAAAGATTCCTCAAGTGTTTTGGGTACTTCTTACCTCTTTGAGTATGAACATTTATTTAGATGAAATTTAAAAATCCTTCTCTCTAATATTGAACTTTATATATGACACATTTGCCAAAACAGATTTGAAAGTGACTCAGTCATTATTAAAAAGACCAGTCTGAGAGGATTTTCTGTGCATGGTTCTAAAAATGCTTAGGTATTTTGTTTTCTTTCTTAAAGTATGATTTGCTTAGGGAATAGTAATTTGGTGACTCTTTACGTTTATTTTTCAGACAACCTCAGATTACCTCTTTTTTTTTTTTTCTTTTCTAGATAACTTACTTTCATACTCATTTCATTTCAATAAACCTTTATTGAATGCCTACTCTGTGTACCAGGCACTATGTTAGATTCTGGAACTACAAGGATAAATAAGTTAAGATTCCTTTCCTCCCTGAATTTGCCAGTCTAGATATTTGACTGTGATTTTATCCATATGCTTTTACAGACATCTCTAATAGGTTTTTAAGTTACTTGACCATATTTCAGGGTTGTTTCACAACCTTTCTATAAGAATTAACACAGTAAAGGCCATTTATTGAGCACTTAATTCACACTAGCTACCCTGCATTTAGTTATTACATTATCTCATTTAATTCTTAGAAGTGTCCTAAGAAGTATTTTATCTCCATTTAAAAACCACACTGGGGGGCTTCCCTGGTGGCGCAGTGGTTAAGAACCTGCCTGCCAATGCAGGGGACACGAGTTCAAGCCCTGGTCCGGGAAGATCCCACATGCTGCGGAGCAACTAAGCCCATGCGCCACAACTACTGAAACCCGCACACCCTAGAGCCCGTGCTGTGCAACAAGAGAGGCCACGGCAGTGAGAAGCCTGCACACCACAAGGAAGAGTAGCCCCCGCTTGCCGCACTAGAGAAAGCCTGCGTGCAGCAACGAAGACCCAACACAGCCATAAATAAATAGATAGATAGATAGATAGATAGATAGCTAACTAACAAACCCACACAGGGCTTTCCTGGTGGGGCAGTGATTGAGAATCCGCCTGCCAATGCAGGGAACACGGGTTTGATCCCTGGTCTGGGAAGATCCCACATGCCATGGAGCAACTAAGCCCCATGTGCTACAACTTATTGAGCCTTGCTCTAGAGGCCGTGAGCCACAACTACTGAGTCTGCATGCTGCAACTACTGAAGCCCGCATGCCTAGAGTTAGTGCTCTTCAACAAGAGAAGCCACGGCAATGAGAAACCTACGTACCGCAATGAAGAGTAGCCCCCGCTCACCACAGCTAGAGAAACCCCGCGCAGCAACGAAGACCCAACACACCCAAAAATAAATAAATAAAATAAATAAGTTTGTTTTTTAAAAAAAGTCTTTCATTTCTCTTGTCCCTCAGAGGGACTGAAATAAAATCTAATTCATGACCCCCAACCAGACTTTAAAAAAAAAACAAAAAAATAAACCATACAGATTCTGGTTTATAGTAATGATGAATGTTGTTTTACTTCTTATATGCTAGAAAAGATTTGACGTTAAGATTTCTCATTAAGGGGAAGAACTTGTAATATAGTTTTAACAGTTTTTAATTTTTTTTCCTGTAGGTGATTTAAAAAAATTTTTTTAATTGAAGTATAGTTGATTTACAACGTTGTGTTAATATCTGCTGTACAGCAATGTGATTCAGTTATATATACGTTCTTCTTTTAATATTCTTTTCCATTATGTTTTATCATATGATATTGAATATAGCTCTCTGTGCTATACAGTAGGACCTTACTGTCTATCTGTTCTCTATATAAAAGCTTATATCTGCTAACCCCAACCTCCCTCTCCAAACCTCCCCCAATTCCCTGCCCCTTGGCAACCACCAGTCTGTTCTCTGTCTGAGATTCTGTTTCATAGATAGGTTCATTTGTGTCATATTTTATTGGGTTGGCCAAAAACTTCATTCAGTTTTTCTGTAAGATCTTATGGGAAAAAACCGAGCGAACTTTTTGGCCAACCCAATAGATTCCACACATAAGTGATATCATACGGTATTTGTCTTTCTCTTTCTGATATACTTCACTTAGTAGGATAATCTCTAGTTGCATCCATGTTGCTGCAAATGGCATTATTTTGTTCGTTTTTATGGCTCAGTAGTATTCCATTGTATATATGTACCCCATCTTTATCCATTCATCTGTCAATGGGCATTTAGGTTGTTTCCATGTCTTGACTATTGTAAATATTGCTCCTGTGAACATAGGGGTGCATGTATCTTTTTGAATTATAGATTTGTCTGGATATATACCTGGGAGTGGGATTGC